TTCTTGACACTATTCGAAGATATGCTTTACTTTGATTGTTTAGAGCCTCAGCTCTAAACAAATCACACCATTTTTTTAATGTACTCAGTTTTTTGGACACCATATACCTTTATTTTGTAATATAATTTTTTTTTAGTATTGGCACTTTCTAAAATTTGGAGGGGTATGATAGATATTTTTATAAAAAAATAGTGGCATTTAGTAGTAGTTAAGAAGTAATTGTGTTTCATTTCGGTGACGTCATGATGATATCATCATCTACTGTAGATAACAAATGCTCTTTTTTTTAAACTAAGAATTTCAATTTTGCCCCTGTTTAATTACCTAAAATATCTTTAGACAAAAATGTTGCTACATGGTGGAGTAAAGGTACTAAATACATTAAGTAAATACTCATATTGATGAGTATCCTATTATAACTTTTTACTATATAATGTTAAGTGCAACTTAAAATTCTATTGAAAAAGAGTGTTTTGAAGTTGCAAACCCTTCCAATTAAGTTCCTCGACTTTTATATATATATATATATATATATATATATATACACACACACACACACACACACACACACACATCTTGCAATGCATTTTTGGGCCATCAATTTTTAAGTTTTTATAGATTTGTTCGATCTATAGTATTTTTGAAACTTCAAATTTTATAACTAAAGATGAAAATATAATTTAAGGCTATCACAAAACTTTCCAGTATTGAAACCATATTTCTCAACACTATTTGAAGGTGGGCTCTAATTTGATTGTTTGGAGCATTGGCCCTATAAAAACCACACCCATTTTAAAATTATTCTAGACAACTCAATTTTTATAGAGCAAGGTTTATTTAGACCTAGCGTGTCACATTGTAATGCTAAAATTATTACTTTCACACTCATTATTTATTTGATTTTTTACTGCTATCATGAATTTGATGTACTAATTTGTCCCCATCCATGAATGTGTCTCCAGGTCGAGGTTACCACAATGTTCCATCAAGCTGATGGTCATTGATTTCTTCTGGCACCATTCTAACTCAGGAAGAAAGAAGAGAAGATGCTTAGAGAGAAAGACTTTGGAAAATATAAAGAAATGAGAGAACATCTTCTTTTTCATCTCCCCGATATCTCTTTCAGGTGTTCAGCCCTGTAGCTTTTTTTTCAACTCTTGGAGTTCCTTTCGGATTTTAAATCAAGCAGATTTCTTTTTTTATTTATTTTTTCATTGCCCGGAGGTCCGTTCTGGGTGTTCAGCCTAGTTGCTTTATTTCTAACGCTTGGGGTTCCTTTCGGATCTTCAGCCCAACAAAACTGTTTCTTTATTTCTGAAGAAGATAAGGAAAGAGATGGAGAGGAGTCAGTGGTGTTTTTTTTTTTTTGGCAATTCGCATTAATACTATATAAGAATTTGATCATCTTTTCATTATTCAGGTGGCAAGGAGGTTCTAATATCAGTCATCCTTTGATTTTCCTTACCTCAAGTTGGCTTCCAATACTCTTTGATAATGGTTGTCGAGTTCCCCTTATCATTTGAGTTACCCCACTTGAACCTTGATTTTGAGATTAAAAATCATTCTTAGCTTCTTAATCCTTTGTGTATAAAGGCAAGCTCATTAGGTTTTCCCCATTAATGGGATAATTTATGTTCCTCATTAGGCTATAATGCCCTTTGAAGTTTGAGGCATGAATACCACATTTAGTTTCTTGCAATTGGTGAGTGATCACCTAACTCCTTTTCGATTGTCTTTTTTATTCCAAATTTTATTTTTCTTTTCAGGAGTTATCTCTATAGTAAGCTCCTTCTCAGTGCTTAAGATCGGGTGAGACTCTCGCACAAGAAGAGTGTTTAAGTTACCATTTGATGGCCTTATGACATGTTGGGATTTAACAAATAGCGGCTCAATCTCATTAACTGCCCATGTGCTCTCTTCATGAGAGGAGATTGCCCCTATTGAGTAATTTGATGGGGGCTGCCCCTACAGGTTTTTTTTTTTTTCCGGTTGGAAAGTTATTTTCATGATATGAAATTTCTTGATATGGGGGTGCCCCAGTTATCGGAGTTGTGCTCCTACTCCAGTTAAGCTCTAGAAACCTCTCCTCTTGAGGAGGTGACCCAATTTGATCGTCAGCTTTTAATTCTTCGTCCCAGATGGGTCGATCATCTAGGAAATCTTGTGAAGGCGGCTCAAGTGGGTCTCTTAGAATTTCAGAAGGTCAACTTCTTTTGATAGTTGAGGCAATAGCTCTCCTTGAAGAATTTGCTTATCTGCCGCCTCTTGAGTTATTGTCATGTAAATAAGGTTTTTCTTGTCACCATGAGTTTGGGAATCACAGCTTCCAAGTCTCGGTTGAGCTTATGCTCGAGTTTATCTTGCTCTTGCAAGTTTGATTTATTTTCCCATATGTGCGACTCATATGTTGCATTAACTTGGAAGAGTGGATTGAAGGGATCATCTACCCTAGTTTTATTGTTGATGATAAAGACTTCTTGTGTTACTTTTGGGGCTACATCTCCATTTGGAATTCTGCATGTGATGATCTTTTCTTTAGCCCATTCATGACATGCCACTCGTTCGATCATGGAATCAAAAGAGTAGGGGATTAGGCCTTGGCTGAAGAAGGTCCTTTATTCGGGGGAGGCGCTCTCTAAGCCCACGGAGATCTTGGACAGGTCTATGAGTGGACATTTGATGACCTGCATTGCCGCCTCGTGGAATCAATTGATGAAATCCTCGAAGGATTCGCTTGGATTTTGCTTTGTTGCACTGAGTTCACTCAGTGAAAGAGGTCTTAGTGTCGATTTAAGATAGTGGGAGACGAATAGGTTGAACATTTCATCTAGAGTGATGTGCGCTTGAGTACAAAACATTTTTATACGAGTTCAGAGCCTCGCCAGACAACGTTTGTGAAAGTATGGCCTTCAGTTGATTTGGTCCATCTTGTAAAGCTAGAATGGAGAGGAGGTATGCATGAACATGAGTATCTGGATTGCTCTTCTCGTTGAATTGTTTTGAAATTATGAGATGACGAATCTGAAGGGAAGGTCCTCCATGCCTCCGAGGGTCTCATGAACAAAGGCCTTGGGGGGTAAAACTTCGTGAATGCTCAATCTTACAAGCATGTTTTGCATTGCTTTTATGGTGCCTTTGTATTGGGCATTTAGGATGACGGTAGGCCCACCAGTTGGTGAGTTCCCAAATGTAGACTGATGAGTCAAGGCTTGGGGTATGTATTGGCCCGTATGGACCTGAGGTTGACGAGTTGCAGTCATCGGGGTGGTTTGGTATACCTGAGCTTGATAGATGTATTGTCCCATAGGTGCCGTCACAAGCTGTGGGAATTGCACGGTCTGTTGGATCGGATGGATTATCAGGACTGATTGAAGAATCGGTTGACTCGATCGTCCTATGGGTTGTCCTATAGCACTAAGCAAGTTTGGGACCGACACATGTGCTGGGACGTGAACAGTGTAGCCTCGATCAATTAAACTTTGAAGGGCAGCTTGGACACCTACATCGCTTAGGGTTCGATTCAGGTTGATACCTGTATTTCGTACAACATTGAGGCTATCATGAGTTGTACTATGGTGGCTTGAGGCTAAGTCAGATCCCCTAGACTTAAGTGGGTCCATGTTATCAAAGTTTTGAGGCTGTCGTATCTCAAAATTGCCTTGGTTTGAGTTACAGGAATGAGCATTTGACACTGCATGAACCTCCTCCCTCACTCTATTCTTACTTTGGGTGCCTAGGAGCCCTCTTAGGATGACCCCGAGTCGAACCCCCTTGACTATTCAAAGTGTTTTGGGCTGAGCTAGCATTTCGAGCAACACATATTTCAGGATCTCGAACCGATCCTTGAGACTCTGCTTCTAATTGAAGAGTTGGGCACCGAAAAATGAACAAACCTGGGTTCTGGCGGTAATCCCAAGGGATTGTGGCATACTAGTCCTTAGGTTTGGGACTATTAGGTTTGGAGTCGGCTGTGGAGCAATCACCATAGTCGCACTAGGTGACCGATATGGTGACTTCTCCCTATTTGAACCTTGGATCTAAACTTAGGGCCTAACCTAGACTTTGACTAGCTAGGTTTGATGGACTTAAGTTTGAATCCTAAACAAAGGTGAGCCCAAGTTAGTCCTAAGAATAACTTTAAGTTCAGACCAGTTAGGTCCTAGACTCGAGGTCTTGTTAGACTTAGTAGGTTTTGGTTTGGACCCTAAACTAGGATGACCTTATACTAATTTTAGAAGCAACTATATACTTAGACTTATGCTAGAACCTAGACTGAGATCTAGGCTAGATGGGTACGAGTCTTGGCTAGGATTGAGAGGGGGCTTAGGTTTGGACCTAGGCTAGGTTAGGTACAAGCCTGAACTTGAACCTAGAGGGTTTCGAATATCAGACCGGTTGTTGACCCAGATGGATCAAGGTTGGACAAAAAAAGGGCCTAGGTTCATACCTAGATGTGAATCTGGTTCGGACCTGGGCTAGGCTGGGCACAAGCTTGGACTTGGACCCAGAAAGTTTCAAATTTAGACCAAGTGTGGACCCGGGCTAAGGTCTAGGTGAGATTTGGCATGAGCCTTGGGTCAAACCAAAAAGGGGCCTAGGTTCAGACCTGAGTGTAACCCTGGTCGAACCTGGACTAGAACGGGTACAAGCCTGAACTTGGACCCATAAGGTTTCTGCTCGAACCAGAAGTGGATCCGGACTGAGATCTAAGACTAATAAACTGTAATAAGCAAATAAAGCACTTAGAAACTTTGCCCTAAACTGTGAGTAGGCTAGGTCTGGATGAGTTTCTAATTATAGAAATATAGCTAGCTTGAGTGGGTCCCCACGTAGATCCTGACCAGCTGTTAAAGGAATCAATAAGGCCTTATTGTGGAGTTACTTTGATGCTAAGGATTACATAGGGAGGTGAGGCATTCCTTATTTTAATAAGATCGAAACATTTCCATTGTCATTCTGAAAGGCCCACTACCTAAAGCCGCAATAAAATAAGTAGGGCTGCAGCCCCCTTCACGGACCACGGTACGATTCATGGCCACAACGATGTTAACCGCGGCACCTTCACTGTCCACTAATATAAACCGTGAGGGTTCATGGGCATCAACGATCGCATGTAAAGTTTCAGACACCGTTTCTACTCCCTCCTCTGTCACAGGCATAGCATCAGGCGAGCCAAGATGGTTGGCATAGAGGAGAAGGTCCATGTCCTTGTGGTCACCTTCCCAGCACAAGGCCATGTTAATCTAGCCATCCGCCTCGCCCGCTGCCTTGCCGCCTCCAACACCAGCCTTCTCGTGAGCTTAGCGGCCATCGAGGCCATCGCCCAGCAGATGCACGATGCCGGTGGCATCACTACCAGTGGCTCTGACGGGCACATCAGCTTCGAGACCTTCTCTGATGGCCATGGTATCGATGATGATCGCAATGACGCGTTCATGGCCCAGCTCAGCACTGCTGGTCCGGGAGGACTGCTGGCTCTGATAGATGACCTCCGGGCCTCGGGCAGACCTGTGCACTGTCTTGTGAGCAACCCATTTGTCCCGTGGGTCGTGGATGTGGCGGAGCGCTTCAGCATCCCATGCGCGATGCTCTGGGTCCAGTCGTGCTCTGTCTATGCCCTCTACTACCGAAGCTTCTATAGGCTCGGCGAGTTCCCGACGCCTGAGAGACCCGACATAGACGTCAGCCTTCCGGGGCTCCCCGTGCTCAAAAGGAGTGAGATTCCGAGCTTCCTGGTGCCCTTTGAGCCTACACTGTACCAATGCTTGGGTGATGTGATATTCGACCACATCAGGAAACTGAAGAAGGTTAGATGGGTGCTGGGGAACTCGTTCCATGCACTCGAGACTGAAGCGATTCAGTCAATGTCGGATCTCACACCTATCATACCCGTCGGCCCGCTCGTGCCCATGGAGCTGCTGGGCAAATCCACGGCTGTCGAGGCAGGGGGAGATCTATGGAAGCCGGAAGATGACTGCCTGGATTGGCTCAGCCATCAGCCCCACAAATCAGTCATCTATGTTGCCTTTGGAAGTGTTGTGATCCTATCCCCGAAGCAAATTGAGGAGTTAGCATGGGGCCTCGCGGGCGGCGGACGGCCCTTCCTCTGGGTGGCAAAGCCCTTTGACAGAACGTCTGAGTTCCGGCTGCCCGACGAATTCCTGGATGCCATTGCCGGACGGGGCAAAGTCGTCAAATGGTGCCCACAGGTGGAGGTACTAACCCATCCATCCATCACCTGCTTCTTGACACACTGTGGATGGAACTCGACTCTCGAGACTATCGCAGCCGGCACCCCAGTCCTAGCACTTGCTCACTGGGGTGACCAAGTCACCAACGAAAAGTTTCTGGTCGACGTCTACAGTGTCGGGATCCGGCTCGAGCGCTACTCAGAGGGCGTGGTTCGAAGAGAGGAGGTTTCCAGGTGCATAGAGGAGATAACTAAGGGGCCAAGGGCGTCGACAATTCGAGAGAAAGCCATGAAATTGAAAGATGCGGCGAGAGAAGCGTTGGAGGTGGAGGGCTCCTCTGATAAGAACCTGAGGGCCTTTGCGGAGGAGGTCATGGCCATGGCCATGGCTCGTGGGGAGGAGGCGATCCGGGCTTGCTCACCCACCCTCAATGAATTTGAAGGACCAATCACCTAAGGAATGAATTCTCTCAATCGCTTAGTTTAGTATGAATTTGCTGTGTTTATTAGCTCCTCTTGTAATTGATTAGTTGTGTTGTTATCCGGAAGACTAGAGTTGGGAACTATCCATACAAGCACTAAAACCTGCTCAGGCAATGAAAATGAATAGCATGAGGGTGTAAATTATTATTATTATTATTTCTTTTTTTTTGCAATGAGTGAATTGTGTTTTCATTTATGTTGTTGCTGGTGGGGTGGTTGCACCGACATTGACTGCCTTTTATCACATGAAAAAATTCTTTCACGCAGTCAATCATGGCAATATTTTCCTATCAATTCTCAACTAATTAATGTAAAAATATTCCCACATAAACACATTTTCACGTAAACCAAACGTACTCTGCCGTAATAACTCCATGCAGGATTTCAAGTTTGGCCATCGAACTGCAGGCTTAAGGGGCCGTTGAGCTACGAACGATGGACATTATCTAAAGTGTATGGTCTATAAATAAGATAGAAATTTTTTTATATAGAGCCGAGGCTCTAAAACAATCAAATTCAAGCTCACCGAAAAATTTCACTAGAAGAGGTTTTTTTTATGCCCAAATATCGTCAAATTAATCATCTCAACATCAAAATGCATAGACATAAGAAAAAAATGGATTTCATGTTTTAGAAATAGTGCATCTCTTAACGCATTTTTGGACCATCAATTTTCAAGATTTTCAACTTTTCATGGATCTACTCGATCTATACTGTTTTTGAAGCTTTAAATTTTATAATTAAAGATGAAAATACATTTTAAGGGTATCACCAAAATTTCAATTTTGAAAACACATTTCTTGATACTATTTGAAGGTGGGCTTTACTTTGATTGTTTAGAACCTCGGCTCTATACAAACCAAACCCCTTTTCTGTGGCCAACTCATGTGTACACTGTGGCCCTCACTAAAATCCATTTTAAAAATGAATTTTTTATCTAATTTTTTTTGTAGATTCATCATCTAGGCCAAGATGATCATGAATATGATAAGAAAAATAATTTTTTTAGCTTAAAAATATATATATTTTAGCACTTTTTATCCACAGTCTATATCTTATTGTTGGGTTTGGTTTGTATAGAGCCGAGGTTCTAAACATCACTCCTATTTAAAATTAGATAAAAAAATTTATTTAAAATTAGATAAAAAAATTTATTTAAAATTAGATAAAAAATTCAGCTTTAAAATGGATTTTTCGTGAGGGCCACAGTGTACATATGAGGGCCTCATATTTTCCTAGTTAGTCGTGTTTTCTTTGATGCTTTCCTACAAGGAAAAAGTTTATATAGAGCCAAGGCTCTAAACAATCAAATTAGAGCCTACTCTAGAAGTGGTTGTTTTAATGTCCAAATATCTTCAAATTGTTCATCTCAACATCATGATGCGTGAATATGAGAAAAAAATGGATTTCAAGTTTTGGATATAGTACAGCTTGTAACACATTTTTTGACCGTCAAGTTTTAAGATTTTCAAGTTTTCATAGATCCGCTTGATCTACACTATTTTTGAAGCTTTAAATTTTATAATTAAAAATAAATATATATTTTAAGGCTATCACAAACATTTTCATTATTGAAACCGTATTTCTCGATACTATTTGAAGGTGTACTTTATTTTGATTATTTAAAGCCTTAGCTCTATATAAACTGCACCCTAAAAATATATATTTTTAATTTGAAAATTTATTTTTGTTTTCATATTCATGATCATCTTGCCCTCGATGATCAATCTACTAAAAAATTAGATAAAAAATTCATCTTGAAATTGGATTTTAGTGAGGGGCTACATATGTACATATGAGTCCGCCGACTCATAGAAACCCATCCCTCCTGTGTTTTTTTCTACCTGGTCCTGCCTCCCTTGATGCTTTAATACACGTACAAATACAAAAAGTTGGGCACGAATCACAAGCCTACTCCGATAAGACATTGTTGAATCTCGCACGAAAACGTCACACACTAACGATCACATGTTTACGCGGAAAACAAACGCCTACGCCAAAAAAATAATTATCCTTGCTCCATGGGTATGCTAATAAATTAATATTTATTTATAAATTAATTATATATAATTCTTAATAAATTAATAATATCAATTATTGCATGCATAATTAACAAAAGAAAAGTTTATATAAAGCCTAGGCTCGAAACAATCAAATTAGAGCCTATCTCAAAACTTTCACTAGAAGAAATTATTTTGATGCCAAAATATCATCAAATTGACTATCTCGACATCAAGATGCATGGATATGAGAAAAAAATGGATTTCAAGTTTTGAAAATAGTGCATCTTGTAATGTATTTTTGGACCATCAATTTTCAAGATTTTCAAGCTTTCATAGATCTGCTCGGTCTGCACTATTTTTGTAGCTTTAAATGTTTATAACTAGAGATGAAAATATAATTTAAGGCTATCACCAACCTTTCTAGTGTTAAAACCATATTTCTCAACACTATTTGAAGGTAGGCTCTAGTTTGATTGTTTAGAGCCTCTGCTCTACCGCACCCATTAATAAATGGAAAAAATTTATATAGAGCCGAGGTTCTAAACAATCAAATTAGAGCGCACCTCAAAACTTTCACTAAATGAGGTTGTTTTGGTGCCCAAATATCCTCAAATTGATCATCTCAACATCAAGATGCACAGACATGATAAAAAAATGGTACATCTTGTAACGTATTTTTAGACTGTCTATTTTCAATGTTTTCAAGTTTTTATATATATGCTTGATCTACACTATTTTTGAAGCTTTAAATTTTATAATTAAAGATGAAAATATATTTTAAAGCTATCACAAAGATTTCCAATATTAAAATTACATTTCTTGACACTATTTGAAGGTGCGTTTCATTTTGATTGTTTAAAGCCTCAGCTCTATACAAACCACACCCTTAATAAATTAAGCAAATAATTGTACTTACATATAATAATCTAAAAAATAATTATGTTATTTATAATTATTATTAGTTATTAATTATTATACGATTATAAGACTACAAATTACTTATAATTGTCATTAATTACTAATTATTAATAACAAATACCGTATTCTAAAGTATTATTAAAACTTTGAATGTATAATTATTACTTAACACTTATAAGACTATAAATTACTTATAACTATTATTAATTACTAATTATTAATAAAATTTAACATATTCTAAAGTATTATTAAAACTTTCAATCTATAATTATTAATAATAGTAATTATTAATAATTATAGATTGTCTTCTTATTAATTATTGTATATAATAATGATTATTAATTCTTATTCAATAATTTAGACCAATAATAATCGATTTATTTAATGAAAGTATTTAATTATTCTGAGTAGACGTATGGTGGACATATGGTTAACTATTATTTGACTAAGAGTACGGCACTTTATAGAGTGTATACCAAAAAGGAAAAAAAGGAAGGAATTATCTTTTATCTTTTTTATATTTAAAATATAATTATTAAATTTTTATGTTTTATATCGTAATATATTATTAACTTATTTAATTACATTTTGGGCTAATTAATTTTTGTAGTTTTAGTTATATATATATTTTTAAATAATTAGAATTATCTTCAATTATATTAGTAAATATATTACATACTTATAAAGTAAATATTATTCTGAAAAATTAGAGAAAACGCACCTCTAGAAACATGTCACATGATGCATATAATGAACAATATCAAAAAAATATTTTACATGAAAACAATTGACCAAAATACCCCTGAAAAGTTTCGGGGGTATTTTGGTCAATTTTATTTTCATGAATTATTATTATTTTTATATTTTTATTAGGTGTGCTTCATTAAGATATAAACACGCTCCAAATTTGAGATCATTCTGACTTATAGAAAAATAATAAAAAATAAAACACTACCGGACAATCGTGACCGTGAGATGAAAATAAAGAAACCATAATAATGTGATATTTATTACAATTAAATTGATAATAATTTTGGTATAGTTTTTTTTTTATTATTATTTCATAGTAGCAAAGACCTCTCTCTCTATTTGTTTTTTTTTTTTAATTTAGATTTGGATTTTGGAAATCCGAAAAAAGTACAGATAGAAAATGGAAAACAAAACGAGAACAATAGAAATGAATAAAGAAAAATGGATGAGTTTTTTTTTTTTTGCATTTAATAATTTTGATTATTTTTATTGTAGCTTGCATTTTGATGTACTTAGTTTTTGAAAATAATTATTTTTTATTTAATTATATTTCTGCACTGTGCATTTACAATTAATTCTTATTTTGTTTGTCATGGTTTATGTATTTACAATTATATCATTTATTAACATAAATGGAATTATTTTCTTTATATTAATAAATATATTAATTACTTATAAGTAAGTATTAGAAGAAAATAGAGAAAGAATTGTGTTTTTCTTTTTTGTGGTTTATTAATATAATTATTTTGGGAAAGCGATCCACATGCTTACATAGATGTGGGAAGTCTAATTTCCAAAATTGAAACCGTTAACAAGTCTAACAGCTTCGAAATAATATTTTCTAGTTTTTTTTGTTAAGTCCAACACTCTTAAAAATAATATTTTCTTGGTTTTTTTTTTTTAAACAGCCCTTGTAATTATATAATGACAATTATAAAATACAAAATTAATGGAATTTTTGTAATTTTTGTTGTTTTTTATTAAGAAATAGCAATTGTCAATAATATTTAGTATGATTATGTGTAATCATTTTGATTCTATTCGTTCTCATTATTCATCGTTCTCATAATATTTGAAATATAATCAATATAAATGTTCTTAAGAATCTGTACATGAATAATAATAATCATAAATGTGGTGAGTATGTGCAAATAAAAAATAACAATTATTATACTTTGATCTTGTAAAAAAACATAATAATGTTTTTTATTACAAGTTTATCATAATTAATATTAATATAATAATCATTTTAATTTTAATATAACAATATTAATTATAGTTTCATTAGTATAAATATAATCATCAATGCATGTTATTAAAATTTTAAGGAAATATTATTATACCGAATATTAATTGATCTAACTTAAGCCATAGAGTAGAATCCCCCGTTGCTAAAAGGACCACAGTCTCCATTAAATGGCGTCGGCGGATGACAAGAGAAGGTTGTTACCCCAAAT